GGCAAGGCTACGACTGGGGACTCGAAAGTCAAGAGCAGAAGCTGGCTTCGGCGCCACGGAAGTGCAGAGCGCGTAACTAAAACTTGTTTTTCTTACAGTGCAGCTTCCTTACGACTGAGTGGGCGGCAGAGCACAGGCGGTTGGGCGGTTGGGTGGCATCCCGCTGACGGCCTTGAAAGTTGTGCTGTGCGTGCAGTTGGACCGGAAGTAGGAGTAGTCGACGACTTCCCTCGGCTCGGATTATCCGCATTACCTGCAGGCGTCAGTGGCGTCTATCAAAGGGGCTGACGAAACTTTTGTGGGTGCGAAGCTATGCGCCAGTTGCAGCACCGTGGTTGCCAATCGTTAATGCATTTTATAAGAGAAACATTCTTAAATTGTTTAAAAAATTTTTTATTTAATTTGCCTTTTACACATCTGTTTGCCACGCCCCTCTGCAGACGCTTATGGAGAAGCGTAAGCCGCAGTTAAAAGCATTTTCGACATGTAAATGAAAGCCCAGAAATATGTTGAGGACATTTTGAATGTACATTTTGGCTTTTGGCTTTGCGCCCCACGAAAATCCAATAGAAATTTATGTCATTTAAATTTTTCGCAATGCATAAAATGCCTTAAGAAGAAAATATATGACTGGCAATATATATGCATGTAGACAGGAGGGAGACAGAAAGACACAGAGAGACGGCGAGAGAGAGTTGAAGGGACAGCTTCAAGGTGCGCAGAGCCGCTCGAATTGCCATGAAATTTATGCGCTTACCAACTGGCTGGCAACAGCCACGGCAATATCAGCAACAACAAGTTGACAGCATTTGGCTGAAGCTCTGAAATATTGTATTTTCCCCTCTGGCCCGTCTCTCCTACTCCTCATCCTCCTCCGCCAACTGGCTGGCTTTGCTGTCTTCCCTTTTGGGCAATTTTCAACTGCTGATTTTCCAATCAGTGCGCAGTTTGTTACAATGGAGCTTATTGAAAATATTTGTCCTGCCACGAAGTTGAATGCGAATGCGAATGCGAATACGAATGCGAATGCGAGTGGGAATGTCATCTTCATTAGTCTTTGTCTTTGCGTCAGAGACAGCCAGCGAGTCGTAGACAAAGACAGAGAGAGAGTGATGGAGAGACAGATGGAATTGGATTGAGGAAGCGCACAGGAAGCACTAGTTACAAAGATTTGCCAGTGCGAACTTTAAGTACAATCTGACGGCAAAGCAAAACTCAGGAAGCCTTAATAAACAATGCGAGTTTTGAAGAGGGTGAAGTATAGTTTTAACTTTTGTGCCGAGTCTCCACTGAAGTACAGCAGCTCACGTAATTGCAATGGATTTTGTCAAAGATATGCAGCCGAAGCCGTAAAAAAAAATGAGGCACAGGATTACGGCAACAATTTGCGAGGCATTTTCTTTTTAAGTATTTCGATTGCACTGCTGCAAAATGTCCCATAAGATGAGAGAAAAGCATTCGCGGTTATAATTGAGGAAAAACGAGAAAAAAGTAAAATTAAATGACTTTTCCACTGCATTGCAGTAAATATCAATAAAAAAAAAAATTCAGTGAACAAATTGTTACATAAGATTTATTGTGCGAAATTGAGAGAATAAAAAAAAAAACCCTGAATTCATTGGCAATGGGAAATCATGGTATAATAGTTCAGTGAACACACATGTTATAATCGATAACTAACCTAGCTTGGCGGTGTTGGTAGAGGCAAAGCGCGATATAAAAAAAAAATGTCACTTCAGTTATTGGCAAATTTTTATTATT